CAGACAGACAGACAGACAGACAGACAGACAGACAGACAGACAGACAGACAGACAGATCATGGACAGCTGCCTAAAGTGGGGGGGGGGTAGCCTTAATTTACAAATACATTTAAGTCCAGCTGATACGACTCTGAGTGTTTTACAAACATCAAGCTGTCCAGCTATCACAGCCACAATTGGTCCGTCCATCCTGCATTCTCTTTCCCCCCTGCAGAGATGCGCACCCAGGTAAGTTCCCATGACCAACTCGTTTGTTCAACACTCTGAGCAGCTGGAGAAGAAGACCAGCCCTGGCCCTCCTTGCAACCTGAGACTCCTCTGTTTGCTGTTGTGTTGATTAATAATAAACCCCAGGGAGGGAACTGGGGCATTTGCATGGTGTCCGGCTGGCTGGCTCTCGCCTGCGCCATCCGTCCGTTCCCTGCTGCAGGAACCGTTTCTGAGCGTTCAAGGTCATTGGCAGCTGTGGGTTGCAAGTGATTACGAGGCAAGAGAGCTCAAGAAAGCAAGGATGGAGTTTTAGCAAGGAGTAAGATTTGGCATTCCCACTGTTTGTAAGTTCTGGTTTCAAATTAGGAAGGGGAGATTGTGGGGAGGCTGGGAAGCATGGAACAGAGCTTATCTCATAAGTGGCAACTCAGGCCAGGGGCAAGAGACCTGGAAGGGGCATTTGGAATGGTTCAAAGACACTCCCCCTTAACAAAATCACTATCGAGGGGGCTGAGAAATGCCCCTTGCCATTTCCAAGATTCTGCATTTAACCCAGGCGAGCATTAAAGCCTCACTTAAATCTGGCTAGTTCTGCTCCTGGGACTTGTCTTACACAAGGGAGAAGGAATCTGTAGCCCTCCAGAAATGGGTGGACTCCAATGCCCATGGTTCTCAGCAACCAGAGATGATGAGAACTGTCATCCAATAACATCTGCAGAAAACAGCTTCTCCCACTCTGCCGGCATATACCTCTTCGAAACGTCCAGCTTGCAGAAAATGTATCAGAAAAACAAGAAGCAAACATATTCTTGGAATCCAGCAACGGCATTAGCATTGCAGCTGCGAGGTCTGCCTGTGCGCGAATGCCACCCAAACGTGAACCCGTCTCCTTTCTCTCAGTCAAACGAGCGAGCCACTCTTTCGAGGGCCGGCGCTTTCTCTCCACTAGTGCCAGTGCCTAAAATGAGAGGACCTCACCCCTTTGCTTGTCCCTCACCCCAAGAAATACTCACTCAGCCTTGGGTGGGTGATGTAGTTCCGAGTCACGGCTAGGAGATGCTCCTTTGTTCCTGGGGGGCCCCTGGCTCTGACCTCCACCTTGGTCGCCATGTCCTTGAAAGGAGCTGGGTTAAGGGAGAGCAACCGAGCGCCCAACTGGCAGTTTTTATACCGGACCCAGCTGACCACAGAGGCTGGCAAGGCAGTCCTGCCCTGCCCTGGGCGTGTTGCATCTGTGCACAGAGAAGGCTGTTGGCTGTAAACTTTGAGGCAGCTGCAGGGCTGGGCAGCATGTCAGAAAGTTCCTGCCTCACCTGGGCTGCGCAGGTCTTTCCCAACAACGCGGAGCTTCTCCTTAGAACGGATTTTGCCCTTGGTTGCCTGCCATGATCTCCCTGCCCTAGAATCATGGAATCAGGAATCATGGAATCACAGGGTTGGAAGGGACCTTGGAGGCCTTCTAGTCCACCCCCTGCTATACAAGTACATTTCTGAAATCCTGGTTCTTAGCTCTTCTGCCTCCCTGACCAAGGAGGCTGTTTGGAAAGGACATTAAAGCCAGGCTTTTGGCCCAGACTGAAGGTAATTGTCTTGTCCCACTAACTCTGTGTTTTTCAAACTTGGCAACTCTAAGGTGTGGACTTCAACTCCCAGAATTCCCCAGCCAGCATGTAGAAGGCTGAACGATCCTCAAAGTGGCAACTACAGATTGAGGCTCACTGCAAATTCAGAAAAGAGGATGGAATCAGCCCAAATGTCTCCAGGCTGAAATCTCACTTCCCAGCGGTGTGCTTTGAGATCCACTCGCAGTAATTTTTCAGAGCATCTAATTTCTCTGCCTTTACGGAGGCTTAATGTACAAACATGAGCAGGAGACTGTGGTTTTACTTCCAAGTTTCCTCCTTTCTGAAGATTAAAATGGTGCTCAGACAGAGGTTTTTAATTATTGGATAGAGGGGAGGGCTGCACTCCATTTTTTGGGTGAGGGGAGACAAAAAAATTATAAGTTGACATAGCTGCATCCTGCCCGTATCTCCTTTTTTTCTGTGTCTGTGTCTGTGTCTTTGTTTTAGAAATGTGTTTACACTTTCTTTGCAGCAGGTTTAATATGTTTTCTCCCTAAAATCTGTAGGAGACTGGATTACCAAACTTCAGATAATTGTGGAAGGGGTTTGGAGGGGTACAAAGGGGGGGGGGTGTCACAGGTTACCCACCTGTGGCGAATGCACAATGTTAAGATTTGAAGTCAGCATCTCGATCTCTCATTGACAATCTTTGCATCACTCACTTAATGTTTCTGGTCTTCTACACTGCATTGATCCAAAAAGGAACACATGGGCTGGGTTGGCAGAATATAGCAATTCATAAAACCCAAACCTTTTAATCAAGGTTAAAATTAAGTGGCTCAGCATTTGCATAACTAGAGCTCCTGGTCTTTAACTGACCTGGTTAAGCATGTTGGAATACAAAGTTAGGTTGTAAAGTAAGGGGGCTTGGCCCAGGAAAAGGTTGACTCATGGTTTATTTACGCCACAGGCCGGCTTGACAATCATTTCCTTTTCCCCAAGAATCCTGCAAACTGCAACCCTAAGCTAAAATGAGCGCTTCCAGACCTTGACTGTAAAACTCCAAACAGCCACTGAAGGGTGGAGAAGAGCCAGGCTCCCACGGGTGGGATCTGGGCTCTGCAGCCCGGGGCAATCTGCCCTGGATAAGACAGCATCAAACCAAGGGAGCCTTTTGTACTTCCAATGGAGATTGCATATGCTGAAACCCCTTTTTGTGTGTGTGTGTGGGGGGGGGTGGCTTAGTGCATTGTGCGGACTCAGCCCATTTGACTCAGTCATTTCTGAGAATGCAGAAGATGAGCTACGGCCAGGTGAAGCCTGTTGCTTAAGGCAGCCGTTGAACGGGCAAAACAGGACTTGCCCCTAAGTCTGGCACCCACCTGCCCCGGTGCCCCCTTTTTCCTCCAAGTCCCCATCTCACCCCCAGCCCGGGAAGGAGACAGGCTTCCATCCTTTGCTGTACAGGTCTTCAAGCAGCCTTTCCCTCTTACTCCGACCCCCTCCAAGGGCAGCCTCAGGACATCCCTGGGCCTTGGGGAGAAGGCACAGGACTGTAGCAGCGGGGTGGGGGGCAGAGGCTAGAGGAGCAGGACCCCTCCTTATTTTCAGGTTGGCCTAGTCCAGTGTTTCTCAACCTTGGCCACTTGAAGAGGGGTGGACTTCAACTCCCAGAATTCCTCAGCCAGCTTGGCTGGCTGGGGAATTCTGGGCATTGAAGTCCACCCCTCTTCAAGTGGCCCGGTTTGAAAAACCCTGCTCTAAGGGGATATCAAAGCGTCATAAGGATTGCATCCCCCCTTGGCACACAAGGCAAAGAGTTTCTGCCAAGTAACAGTAGCTCAAACAAGGTTTTGCTTTTATCACCTCTTGCTGTGAGCCAACTCTTCGCTTCAGACAACTCAGGCAGAGGGTCAGGCAACCCCTAAGCCATGATAGAATTGGGATGTCCAGCTAAACCACTCATTGGTGATCCAAAGCAACTGGCTTGGTGGCTCTGAAGCAGCGTATTCCCTTTCTGGCTTGATCCCAAGAGAGACACATCTGGCACGCCCAGCCATCTTTGTTGTCCTCCCCCTTCCGCCCATCATCCCCAGCCAGTGGGGACACCAGCCACACCCCCGGGCAGGGCAGCAGCAACAAGAGCAGCCATGTCTGGGACTCTGCCCAGGCTTCTCTAGGCTGGTGGGTCTGGTGGGAGGGGAGGAAGGGAAGGGAAGG